ACTGATTGATTTGGAGCTTTTGTTAAAAGATATTCATCACTCAGTGTACCATCAGAAAATAAATTTAATGATCGACCAGATGTTTTATCAAATATCCAATGTGTTACTTGAAGACCATCAAAATCATAAACTGGATTATTTTGATGATATTTAATTGGTTGTTTATTTTGAAAAACTGGAATAGGCCAACGACGATCATCACCATAAAGATGTCGTAATGCAATTCGTTTAATTCCAAGTTTTTTAGCAGTTTGTAAATATTCTTCAACTTGATGAATATTATCTTCCGTTAATATACATGATAGTTTAATTGGAATATTAGTTGCTTGTTGTAAAATATTTTTTAAATTTGGCATTTGTTTAACACCATGAAGTTTATAATAAGTTTGAGGATGAAAAGAATTTATTGATATAGTACATGAATCATACATACGAAATGTTTTTATTTTTGGTATAGCTAATAAACCATTTGTATGTAATGATATATGAACATTTGGTAAATCATGACGTAAACGATTTATTAATTTTTCTTCATATTTATAAAGTTGAGGATCTGTTCTTGTACCAGTTAAAATGATTTTTGATGTTTCAGATTGTTTTATTAAGGAAATAAATTCATCAAGATTTGCAAGTGTTTCTTTACGTAAATTCTTTGGAGTTTCTACTAATTGATGACCAATACAAAATGGACATTTTTGATTACATGGTCCAGAAAATAAAATATTACCAAATTCAAATGGTTTTGATGTATCAACACGTGCTAAGGATGAAAATGAACGACGAATTTGATTGATCGATTGTTGATTTTGTTGTGATGCAAGTATTGAAGTTGTTAATGGTATTGATGGTATCGACTGAGATGAATTTGTTCCTACTGTTCGACGGCGAATTGGTATTGTCGTATCAGGTATAGGTTGAAAAGGACTTTGACCTTCTTTTAATGCTTTAATAGGATCAACTAAAAATTGTTCTCCACCTTGACGATTTAAAATATGATTTTTAACTGCTGGAGAATAAAATAAAGCTACAACACCACCAAAACATTGTTTACCAAGATGTGTCATTTGTAAACGTTGTTCTTCTTTATTATGTATCATTAAACCATGATCAATAACAAATTGAAATTCTGTTGGAAATAATTCATCTAATGATATTTTAAAACAATCTTTAAATGCTATAAGATCAATACCACCATAATAAAAACTAACTGATGCCATTTTAGCTATAGCTGCTTCTCGTGATAAATGATAAAGATCTTGAACTGGAATACGATTTAATTCAACACTACGTATATATTGTTGTAATTTTTTTGTTACAGCACCTAAATTATATGATAGTGTATAATGACTAAATGATTGTGCACCAAGACCAATACCAATATATGGTATAGCTTTTCTAACACGTTTATCTAAATAATCAGAACATCCTGAATTATCTTGAATACGAGAAAATGTATTTTTTCCTGTTAAACCAATATAACCAGATTGATTTAATAATTTTCTTGCTTCACTTTCTTGACGATTAACTTGATCAAGTTTAACGCGATCAGCTAAATGTGCCATTAATGTACCTTTATATCTCATACGATATAATGTTATATGTTCAGGTTGAAGATCAATTGTATCTTGAACAGTTTTTAACCATGGATCATCTGTACGTGTTGAACGTATTGGAAATCCATACATTAAATCAATATTAAAACTTTTAAAACCTGCATTACGAACATTAGTAATTGCTTTATAAATATAATCTATTGATGCATTTGCATCATCACGATTCATTTCTTTAGCTTGACGGAAATCTGTTGTTTGTAAACCCATTGATATACGACGAATACCCATATCATAATATGCTTTCATTTTTTCTGGTTCAGCTGCAGCTATTTTTGGTGTTGTTTCAATTGATATTTCAGTTGTATTCCAATCTGTTTTAAATGTTGATTCAACACGTTCCATTAATTGTTGAATATGTTCTACTTTAGCCATAGATGGTGTTCCACCACCAATATCAAATCCAACTAATTTTTTTTCTTTTGTATTTAATAAATTTGCATACATATCCAATTCATTATAAAGTGCAGAAAAATAACTTGCTTGTATATCAAGATTTTTACCTTGTTTTGGGTTAACAACTGTATATTCACAAAATTGACAACGTGTTTGACAAAATGGTACATGAGCATAAAGCATCATCTCTGATAATGAACCATAAGCACCATAATAAGTTGATTGAATATCTTGTTGATCTCGAAGTCTTTTTACACGATATGGTCGAATAGTAGTATTATGAGAAATTGGGAATGCTGTATTACATATATGATGATGTCTCATTCCTGCTCGGAAAACGTCCTCAGCTAAATAATTTTTTTGATCATCTTCTGTTGATTGTTGCCATGTAAATGGTGATGAAGATG